AGTGAGTGAGTGAGTGAGTGAGTGAGTGAGTGAGTGAGTGAGTGAGTGAGTGAGTCCTGATGCATCTCAGTAATCCAGGTAGAAAAAAATTTAAAAAAAGGTAGTTCCTCCATATGGGTTCTTCTTTAGTGAAACGTTTCGTCTCTCCTCCAAGAGACTTCTTCAGTCTGATGAGTTTCAGGTGAACTCAGCCTTATAAGCACTGCCTCCACATGGACAAACAGGTTGGTCACATGCAAAAGAGGGCCATCGACTAACAATAGGCTTGATTAGCTCTGTTTAGTCACATGCAATAAAAATAGAGCTAATCAAGCCTATTGTTAGTCGATGGCCATCTTTTGCATATGACCAACCTGTTTGTCCATGTGGAGGCAGTGCTTATAAGGCTGAGTTCACCTGAAACTCATCAGACTGAAGAAGTCTCTTGGAGGAGAGAAGAAATGTTTCACTAAACAAGAATCCGTCCAGAGGACCTCCTTATTTTTTCTTTTTGATTTTTTTCTACCTGGATTACTGAGATGCATCAGGATGTTTTGGTATTATGTTTTACAAGGTTAAGAAAAAAATATGGCTTTAATCCTAATCGTCTTTAATCAATGACTTATTAATACTTTAATCAGGTCTTGTTTATCATTTTATGATTATGGGGAGCCAAGTGTAAAATGAAATGCTAAAAACGTTCACTAACACATTTTTCACTGTTTTTCTCACTGTTCTTACATTTTAGCTCATTTTTACTGAACGTTAAATTTAAATGTTAAAACATATATTTGAACATTAAATCTTAAATCTAAATGTAAAAGTTAAACCTTAAATGTTGAAGTTCACATTTAGGTATTTTGGAATGGAACGCATCCTTTGCCGTTGGTGCTCGGCTCATGTAATGATGTCATCATCCTGAGACAATAGCAACAGCTAGCACTCCTATGCAGCTAAATTTGGACACGCTCACACACACACACACACACACACACATACATACATACATATATATACACATTCAAGCTGCACTTCCAACTGCTGGACCACAGGTCCCACCATGTAGTTTATTTATGAAAACCTTTTTGAATTTTGATTTTAAATATTATCTTTAGCGGTGTTCGAAGCATTAGCAGAAGTTACTGTCAGATAACCAAGATGATGTCATCATCATGCAACAAAGATCAACAATGGCCACTGCTAACTACTGCTAAAAGATAAAATTTAAATTCCAAATTCAAAACGTTCATAAAAAAACAATCTGGGTGGTCCCTGTGGTCCAGCAGTTTGAAGTGCAGCTCAGACACCGGCCATAACTGCAAGTTTGATGTCTTGTAGGGAAAGTTTAGCTGCATTGGAGCGCTAGTGGTTGCTATTGTCTCAAGATGATGACATCACCGCAAAGGCTGCATTCCATTCCAAAATACCTAAATGTGAACTTCAACATTTAAAGTTTAACTTTTACATTCAGATTTAAAC